GCAACAGTCCGATGCAGGCCATGGGTACATGCCGTTTTACTTGAACTATGGCTTCCATCCGTGTATACCCATAGACCTTATCCGGGATCATGACTCCACCATGATTGAAGGTTCAACCAATTGTGGATCGGATCAAAGGAATTTCTCAATGGCTCTGAAATTTCTGAATTGGGCCAAAGATAGGATCAAGTCCTACGCTGACCAAAAGTGAAGGGAACTAAAGTTAAATAGTAGGGATCAGGTGCTATTGTCGACTGAGCATTTGAACTTGAAGAATGCACCTATCCATAAATTGAAGGGGCGATTCGTTGGGCCTTTCTTTGTGGTTTGTTTTGTGGGACCAATGGCCTACAAACTCGACATCTCTCAAAAGTGGAAAATCCACAACATATTCCACATCAACTTTTGCGTTCTTTCAGAACTAGACAATGGGCGCAACCTACTCAGGAGGGTTAGATTGAGGACTTAGAGCCCAAGGAGGACGGGCCATATGATGTCGAGAAATTACTCTGTTGGTAGTGGGTAGGATCCAGTTCCAGAAAGCACAAGAAGTACTTAGTGCTCTGGAAGGACTATTCATTGACTGACACCACCTGGACTCCAGAAGCGAGTTTCACTTACCCAGAAGAACTCAAGAAAATAATTAAAAGGGACTAGCTCGTTGAGGACAACTAGGCCCTTGGGTTCGCTTAGACGTTTTGAGGGCAAAACTACCCCCAGGGGGAAGTACTGTTGTGCAAACTACTAGGGGGTAGCTGGTTTACTTAAGTTATATATTAGGAAATGATAATAGATGTAAGATCATACCTAGATTGGATAGACGAGGTTGTTAGCTTTCTGTACATCTTCAAATCATCCCAAACGTGTTAGCGGTAGTGGAGTTATGGCAAGGGAAAGTTGTAGTACTTAAGGTTGGGCACCTACCATACTCGGGGTTGAGATGCTATCAATATGGGTACATTCGGTATGCTTTTCTATTGTGGAAACACATGGGGGTCGAGAGAATTATGACCAATAGTCTTGATTGGCTAGTCATATGTGGAATTTGCCCCATTATCTAGATTCTTTATGATCTCTAGATACTCGTAGGCTCTTTACTTGTCTAAATCCCCCAAGTATGGAGTAGTGTATGGCCTAGGGAAGTCCCTGTACTTAAGGGATAGACCGTGGGGGTAGACTGGGCTGCGATGTATCGATAGTGGGACCGATACGGGGGGTATGCCGGGCGATACAGTTGTGACACGTTGATGTACATTGTGTGGTGTTTGTGTGATGGGTGGCCGGACCGGAATGTGGCCGACCACCAGTACGTATGTGGGTGCGTTGGTCCCCGCTCTGTTACCCGTTTTGGCTCACTGCCGCGCTCCGCACGGGCCTCGCGGCCCGGGGAGCAAGCTGCCTCGCAACCCGCCGTCTTCGAATGGCAGGACCGCCCGATCCCAGAGCGCAAGAGGGCCCACCATGCAACAAACGAACGAGCACCCCGATTACGCCCACCGGATTCGGCGGAGGGGCCATCGGCCCAACCGGGTGCAGGCAGATGAAGTGTGACGTGGCTGCATGGGGTTAGGCAGTTATTGGCATTTTCTGGAGTGGGAATTATCTAATCTGGGATATCGACCTTTTGTGGGTGTTATTTAGAGCTTCCTGGTTCCAACGCGCTTTTAAACGCCCAAATCCATTAAGAATTGACAAAGATATTGCCTCCTGAAGTTGTAGTACTTCGGGCCAGGGGGTCGGGTGTTAGATGCTTGGAATTAGAGGACATTAGGTCGATCGTAGGTGAACGGTGGACGATGATGATGTGCCTGGACACGCACTTGAGTTGTCTTGTCTTGATGTGACTGCGATGGACCCGCGATTGGGCATCGCGCATGCAATATGTGCGCGCGCATGCAATATGTGCGCGCGCATGCAGTGAATCGTTGTAACTGTTCTGGCCCACTCTCTGGCCTCCCGCAAGCCAGCGAACCACCGCCTCACTGCGCCGCCGCCACTCGCCGACAGTAGGCCCCGGGGATTGATCCCCGTCGAGCATTGGGCCCACCGCGCGACCGCCGAAATGACTGCCCCGGATACGCCCACCGTCCGAGGTGGAGAGGCCAGCCAATCTCCAACAGCTGTGCTGCAGGGCAGGGCGACCCCAGAGCCTCCGGAAACCAGCGGCTGCCGACGGGCCGCAACATGAAGTGGGACGCACGTGACAAAGGGGACTAGCGGAGGCCATCGAAAAGGGCCCCGCAACATTTTCTGTCAGTTGTGTACCGTTGCATGCAGGGGTCATAAGACCGACCCCACACAACAACCTGTAATTTCATTTGTGCCCACTCTCACCTCCCTTTGGTTGCACCCGCAGACCGCAAGGCGCCGGGCACACCCATTGCACATAAGGCCGCCCCGCGCCCAGCCAATCTGCGGGCTTGGGCCCATATTGCGCATCTAAAGACACGAGCGCCACAGAAAGCCCACTGGCCATCCGGCAGAGGGGGCCTCGCGGCCCCATCGAGCGCCTCGGTGGGCGCATCGCCCATGAACCAACCAAAAACCACGCCAATGGCCGCCCATTGGACCGTCATATGAGATATTTAGTGCTAAGTTCAGGCCAAGCTTGGCCTATGGCGAATATGGGTGACCTACAATAATTAGCTATTATGCCTTTAGATATATTACAATGCAGTATCAAATTTATTTTCTTGTCCTTTCATCCACTTCTTTTTCATTGTGATTTTAAACACATTGCACTTTTATACCCATTGCATGTGCTCAACACACTATTCCCTATTATTGTTAGTCACAAGACTGATCCTAGAGCAGTGCAACAGACCGTCCAGGGTTTGCCATTTCGTGCCCGCATGTACCCAATTGGTATGATGATATCTTTTGATGCTTCATCATACCCATGCAAGCGAACACAACTGGATATCCTTGCGGACTCGTGGTAGTCACTATATGCACATCTTTTGACAATCTATTCCATGTCATGACGTTTAGCTGGGTCCACACTGGGGTGCCAATGGATTAGTAGATTTGCACCCAACCCCAGCAGCGAGTTACCGTCAAGTCTAACTATTCCAAGCAGCTAAAACCTCGTTATAATGAACTAGGCTTCACATTCCGTTAAGGCCTTCCCCTTTGCTGTCATACGCTCCTGCTTTTGTCCCGTATGTAGGTGCTCATCACGGGACATCGCTTCAAGCTAATTCTATAACTTGTTCCCAATTGTTTTCCCTACTTAACGGTTCTTAATACTCATTTGTCTTCTTTTTCTTTTAGCCATAATGACCTGTCACTTGCGCGGAAGCATGTTCAGGTCATATTGGACTCTAACGGATGCCCGTTTTAGTCACGGTTGTCGACCTGTCTTTTCATAAAGGGGCAGACGTTGTTTCAGCAATTCCACGGCTGCATATTAATGTAGCATGCTCAAGGGGCAACCTGCCATGGAGCGCGTTGTTTGCAGCATGCATTTACTATTCATTGATGCCAGATTCATGCAGTCTTTAGTAATTTACACAATTCATGCCCAATCAGCTTAATGGCACTTGTTTTGTCTCTTTTTTCATACTGCACTCATGACTAGTTATCTCTTCCCATCTATTTTGCCTGTTGCTCATACCAAGTATACCAAACCTATTCTAGCACGGTTTTTGCAGCTCGTATTCTTGGAATAACTTGGCTATTAGCATCACCTCTTTACACAGCCATCTTTTCCTACATTTGTCACGCCAGATTATTCGTGCCCCCCTCCTGGCCGAAGCTTCAATTTAAGCATGCCCCTTTTTTCTTGGACGTCCTACCTTTCCTTTTGTGAACCTCTCTCACCCACAACACAGTGTAGCTGCACATCAACACTTTCTCAGCGACTTCCATTTGCCAAATGTTCGACACATACTCATTATGCCAATACGCCTGACGACTTTCACATTCCATACAACAGAATCAACATCAACTTCCCTTTTTTCAGTCATGCCCAACTATTGAACCTTTTCTTATCATCTGCGTATTATTTGTTAATCTGATCCTGTTCCAGTCATACGCCCTGTCAGTCATCAAGATGCATTATACTCTAAGGCTTGTCATTATATTTAACACAGGTAGGAAACTGGAAATGGCGGAAGCGCTAGTGGTGGTTGGGTGTGAGTAATCACAAGCTCGTGAGCTCCACGTTTGTTGATGGTCATCAACTGAGGTTATGGTATCCACCGCGGCAGTAAGGCCCAGTCCCCCGCATCGCCGTCCTTGCAAAGGGGCTCTTTGACCCGAGGGTTTGAAAATTGCGTCTGGAGGAGGAGTAAGGCGGTGGGAATCTGCTGCTGATGGCTGTCCACAATCCCAGCATTTGCGGCGTTCCCCACTGTCAAACCATGCAAAAAAGGCGACGCGTTCGGGCGCCTTCAGACAGGAACTCCCCACCTTCCGGGCGGGATTGTCGACCGCCGAAAGATCATCCGCGGGACCCCCAAACCGCTCATCTTGGGCCCCAGAAGTACTTCTCCACGACCCAAGACCCCAAGACGACACACCACACCTCAACCGCCTCAAATTCCCCCCAATATCCATTGGATTCCGTGGGGCCAGCCGCAATCCCGCCCCCCCTCCCCCTCCCCCCTGCCCGTGCTCGCCGCCTTGCCCACCTTGGGCCGCCACCCCGGTGCCTGCGGGGCCGTCTCGCCTCGACTTGCCTCCCAAGGCATCCACAGCCATTCCCGATTCGCCCCTTCCCCGTCTGCTGACCTTCCGAGGCTTGCCCACCCGCCCCCCCTGCGCGGCTTGCCCGCGCCTCTCCCGCCGGCCATGGACGCCATGGTGCCCGGCAAGGTGCTCAACGACGGGCGGTACAAGGTCACCCGGGAGCTGAACAGTGGGTGCCCGCATGGACGCCGACGATCGCCATGAATCCGAACGATTCGGGCGGCCCCATTCGAATCGCGTCCATGCGGCCCGCATGGCGGGCCCTTTCGGGGGTTTGTTGATTTGCCGGTTTTTGGCGACGCGGCCAGGGGGCGCCACGGCGGTGGTGTACGAGGCGCACGACCTCAAGGACCAGACGACGGTGGCGCTCAAGGTGGGCCCTTGGACGCGCGCGGCCCTTTCTGAGCCGGCCCAAATTGCTGCGGCTGACCCGCAGATGGCCCGGCTGCGGTGGACAACAGGTCATCAACGCCACTGGCGGGCAGATGTCGGTGCCCCTGAAGATAGTGAAGCGAGAGGTGGGTGCTCCCAGGCGCGCGGGCTTTGGCTCCAGCAGCGTGGGGTGGCGAAGGTGGCTGGGCTCGGAGCCCGGGAGCCTGGCAAGCGATTTGGGAACGGACTGCAGATGCGCGACGCATTTGCGCTGCCGCCTCTTCCGGCCTGCGTCCGAGCCCTGTGCGCCAGTGGCGCACGCTGCCTGGCTGAGGGGATTCTTAGGATTGCCGACCGACATGTGAGGAATCTTCAGTGGGGTTTGCGCTCGTTTCGAGCCTGAATGCGTTGGCGGTGCGCCTGGGCGCAGGTGGAGTACGCCTGCAGCATGCGGCACAACAACATCGTCCGACTGCTGGACGTCTTCGCTGAGGGAAAGCAACTCATCTTGGTGGTATGGCGGTGGAAGTTTTGGGCGAGCTTGAGACGGAGTTGCCGCCTCGAAACCCGTGCAATGCACTTGCAACGGCGAGCAGACTGTTTCCCGATGGCCCTGAACTTTTCAAGTTCAAGCATGCGCTTTGTGTGCTCACAGACCAAGGCAACGGCGGCCAGTGCCTGCTGGACGCATTTGAGGATATTTCTGTGTGTTGTGTTCAACAGTGGGAACTCATATCCGGCCCTGATCTGCTGGACCTGCTGAATGAGCACGGTGGGCGAATGCCTGAGGAAGTGACAGCCTTCTACTTTTACCAGCTGGTGAAAGGGGTTGTGTTCATGCATGAAAATGGATTCTGTCACAGAGATTTGAAGCCTGAAAATTGCATGGTGGAGAAGCACACACAACTCTTGAAGGTGTGTTGCCTGTGAACAGGACCAATGAATGGCTTCCATCGGCTACTCTCAAGTGTTTCTCTCTGGAGCATATGATTTCGTGCAGCAGCAACTGATTGACATGGCCATGTTTTTTAATGATGCCTTCCACCATAAATTCCCATCCACCTGCTTTCAGCATCTCATGTGTTCACAGTGCCTGCTGGTGTACCCTACTGAATTCAGGTTCGCTGTGGTAGTGACCCTGTCCTGCAGCCAGAATGTGAACATGCAGCATGTGGGCATTGCACATGTTCAGATAGCACAGCAACAATGAAGTCCATTTATGCTGTCCAAATCTACTCAAAGTATTCCCATGCTTCCACACGTCAGAAGTGTTCTTGTTACTAATATGAGTACAGTCTTGACGGAAAGTTCGTTTGTTCTGTGTCTACCACATGCACATTGATGTATGCACTTCCTGTCATCCTTGCAGCTGATTGCCTAACTGGTTTGGGAATTGGACAACACTGCTAGAACATCGGAATCCAACTCGATCACCACAGTTGCCTGTAGTGAAAAAGCAAATTTCCCATAGTCGGCATGTGTTGGATCAGCAGGTGCCACAGGATTCAGTAATGGGCCCAGTCATTGTGCAAAAATGAGATATCTAATCGACGTATAGCAGGTAGAGAGTGTACGACAACATTTGGTGCTCGTTGGAGTGATGTTTAACCTTCATTTCATGATTATGTCTTTGACAATCTGTCACCAAATTGAAGTAGATACTGCTTTGTGTTCGCAATGCCTCGTTCTCCAACACAAGCTGTGTAATGTCATGTGCACCATCATGCACATCGTATTCTCTTTGTGCCTTACTGAAACATCCTGCCCAACACTGCAGCTTTGTTGCTCGGACATTTAGTGCAGATGCTCTTTTTGTGATTGAGCTGTGGGCGAGTCTTTGAGAAGAACCACTGTGCTGGGGTACAGATAATTGATTTCGGGCTGAGCAAGCACATCAACAGTGTGAATACTTTGGGGTGAGTACACAGAAGTGGCCTATCTGTGGAGATTTTGTCCAAGGCATTCAAGCTAAGCAATAGTAAGCATCGATTGTTCTGGGTACGCCCCTCTAGATGCGTGAAGAACCAGGAGTGAAAACGCTCACCACCTGTCCCTGTACTGATCAGCTCTTTTAGATCATGGGCGGGCGAAATTATGCTGCCGCCAGCTAGGAGCACAGGGAAGGCCTTTCCGGGCTGCAGAACTGCGTGCGAACTTTTGCTTCAACCCCAAACATCTGTGCTTGCCATTGTGGATGATCCACACGCTGGCATGTGTGTAGTACACTTGTCATGCCGACCCTGGGCGCCACTGCACCCGAGCCATTAGTGCAGCCACCAAAACTGATGATTTTGGTGTAAATGCACTGTCTTATCTGACGAACTGCCTGTTGTGCTTTTTCCAACGTGTGATGCAGTTGACCTGGGCAACTCAGCGCTGGTGTCAGCAGGAAGGTTCCGATTTCACACAAGTTCGCTAGGCGAATGATGTTGCTGCTCAAACTCGTGCATCGCTGATGTGTTGCGAACTAGACAGTGAAGAACCTGTGAGATGATTTCCTTTTCCATTTCATGAGACCTCCTCAAAAGCGCAGCATGCGAGCTCCCAGAGCAAGTTCAGATCCTGCGGATGGACCGGACGACGCTGGCTGGCTGGTGGATGGAGCGGCTGAGCAGGGAACAAGATGTGGAACAACAATGTAGCACGGTCATATGCCCATTAAAAATTAATGACCAAACAGCACGGCCAATCATGAATCCCCCGTTTCTTCGCTGATACATTGACAAATACGAGATCTGAAGTGCACGTCGCAGCGGTGATTAATTTCGTGACACTTTCTTGACCCCGAATTCAACGGCCTCTTTGGAAAATGGCAAATGTGTCGAAATTAGACCAGAGCACCCACCACGTGTTACGCAATGCCAGCCAAAAAATCGGAGCAGAAGGGGTAAGTTCAGCACGAATGTGTCCACTTTGAGTCCGGGAGAAGTTCCACCTGGTGCCATGGGTACAAGAAGGGTTGTTCGACCTGTGGCATGGCTCGATGTTGCTTCCAAAAGAATAAACTCCCAGTTGATTTCAGCTCGGCGAGTGCATCTTGCCTGTAAATATGTGAGTAGAAGGGATATTGCGACATCTTCCTGCCAACTGCTTCCATCGTCGTCCGTTCCCATGGCTTGTCCCATGTCTGTAATGTGCCAATACAAGGCATATTGCGGCATCTTCCCACTGACTGCTTCCATAATGTACTGTTCCCATGACTTGCCCTTGTTTGCAGGACCCGACACACCCAAACAGTGTCAGCCACACCCTGCAGAACGTGCGAGCAGGCCGCATGAGGCCCTTTCCAGACAGCGTGTCGCCTGAGTTGCAGGAGCTCATCAGGCACATGCTTCAGCGGGAGTCCCAGAAGCGCATCACTCTGAGGCAGGTCTCGCAACACCCGTGGGTGAGGAGGAACGCAATGATCCATGCGAGGAAAATCGGGCGGCCCGAGCTCAGCTCCGACGACTCGGGCGAGGTGCCCACTCCGGGCAACGGCGCGCCCGTGCCGGCAGTGGCGGCAGGTGCAGACAACAAGCTGCACACGATTGCATCAAAGGAGGCTTACGACGTGCGCGATGAGGGTTCCACGCCTCGCATCCAGCCTGGCTGCTTCGGGGTCGTCCCTGGCCGGAAGTCCACGGTCTCAATTTCCTCGAGGTTGAAGAAGTTCTTTGGCGGCGTGAACTGAAACAGACCGAACAGGGGTGCTGCGTGCCCCCGGCACATTGCCAAGTGCCCCTGGAGCGCTGTCTGGAATGGCAGCTGCGCACAAAGTGCGCTCATACTGAACGCATAGTGGAGTTGCTGTCGGGTGACTTGCGCCGAGGAGGTGATGACAGGAGAAGGCAGGAGAAGGTAGGAGAACGTAGGAGAACGTAGGAGGCGTGAGGAGCATGTGGTATGCGAAGGGTCACGTGGGTGACCAATTGAGTTCAAACTGTAGGAAGTCGGCGCGTCCATGCTCGCAGGGATAGCTCTAGAAGGGCTGAATAGGAGCGGGGTATGAATATCGGGTTTGGGCCACAGGTGAGCGATTGTCTGAGAGCCCTCCAGCGGCATCAGCGCGGCTCTCTGTTCTGTTTTGTTCATAGTACCGACCCTACTCTGCAGCTCTGCAGCGCGGCAAGGGTGACGCAATTGGAATGCCATTCCTTTTGTTGTCTGCAGCGCAGAGATACCAAGACGGGTTTTCACGAGGCCAGCAGCACTGCACAACCCAGGATGGCCTCCCTCCCCACTTGGGTCCCGCGGAGCAGCTTGAATCGATTCTGCATTGGCGGCTGCCATGCGAAGCTGAGCAGTGCCTTGATCATGCAAGCTGCAGACTCCTGAGGCATGGCATGTGGGAGACTTCACCTGGGAACTTTGAAGCACGCATTATTTATGACAAGCTTTCGCCCAGTCGGTTGCATCCAGCGCAGCACCAGCTCCCGCGAGTTATTGCGAGCTGAATGTTCGCCTGTGTCACTGCGCACACCTCTGGGCCTTAAGCCAGACAAATCCAATGCATTCTCACTCCAACTGTTGCTGAATTCGTCGTTGCTGCAAGGGCAGGGTTTGGTTGAAGCTGTACAAAATGAAGTTAGGGTGCTGTTAACCTGTACTATGTCAAATGGCGCTCTACGTGGATGTACGCGGCCTTGGCGGTTCCTCATGCATGACAACATCCGCCGACTCGAATTCAGTCACGTTCGGTGTTCGCAGCTGAAATCGCCGCTTGGACATTGAACTCACCGACCAGGAAAACACGACAGTGCTGTGCATGCTGCTCACAAGGACGCCCCTTTGGGGTTGGGCTGTGGTCCGAACAGCTTGCTTCGACAATGGACAGCTTGTTTCCATGCGTGCTCACACGAGGCCGTGCGAAACCAGTTTCAACCCCAGGCATTCCGCTCGGCGCCTCTGTGAACGCAGCTAGCATTGTTTTAAAGCAACCCAGATCGTTACCCCGCTTACATCGGCCAACAGATGCTGCGACAGCCCCGCCCACTCGCCATCGCCCAAGGGCTTCGGCCACGGTATATCGCTTGTGGGACAGAGCCCGCCGTTGAACCCAGTCTGGCCAACTCAACTACTGCCAGCGCTTGCAGTTGCACTAGGCTGTGCGTCCGGCTTCAATCGGTATCGTATTCGCTATCGTCATCGTCGACTCTGGGACGCATGTCCTCTTCAATGATGTCACCATCTTCCCCAAAAGCAGAGTATGGCGCCTCAACGCCTGCAGCCTGTCCATTGGATACCAGGGCAGCCGTGTTGCGGGCTCCATCGCGTTGCGAATCACAGCGCATACAGCTTGCTCGTGAAACATCTTGACACACCACCAATTCTACTTGTGGAATGCATGCCTCAACGCACAGCACCTCAGCATGTAAACATTTTGCCCATCACAAGCCGATTCTTGTGAGTGTCATCACTGCATTTGTGGCGAACCGTGGAATGCGACCCAAGGCACCGGGTTGAGATCAGATGGCTGTTCACAGAAGATTTCTGCACAGGTCTGACGACCCCAGCGTAGGCTGGCGACCAGCCTTGCCAGTTTGGCAACCGTCGGGAATTTAGTCCCACATCCACGCATGAATGCCCGTTACCTTACTCATGCTCCAACAGTAGGCATTGACCTCTGGCATTGTCTAAGGCACATGTTAGGGCTTAAGCTTGTGGGCCAGACGCTGTGTCACCAGCACAATAGAGAGTCGTAATCGCATGCAGTTGCAGCGCATCCAATTGCCTCACTTAGCTTCAGCGGGTTTCGGCTGGCAGAATTGCCAGCCTCAAATCCACTTCCTGCTATGTTTATGCAGCCACCCACTCGCGGTAATCCTTGTCAGCACTATGCCATGCGTCCCAACTTGACCATGTTGCGTGACTCTGAGCCAAATTTGTTTGCACAGCGTTCGCCGGTGTTTCGTGCAATTGCTCTTTTCCTCTGAGCCAATCACCGGGGTTGTTGCTGTTCCGCGCTGGCTCAAAGCCTTTCAATATGGGCTTGTGCAATGTAAACTCTAAGCAGGCACACGCACCGCAGGCTGGCAAGTGCTTGCCCACTTCGCAAACCCTCTAATACGTTGCGTTTCTCAAATGGTGTGGCAATTTCGTACATACAGATGGCTTATGTGACGACTACAATGTCGCTACATGGGAATAAGCCGTGCATTACTAATGCTGTCCTTAACCATCCGCCACAAATCAAGTACGTGCTCTGGTATGCACGCTCTGTGTTCCCATGCACGATGCCCAGACATCCTCATTTTGGAAGGAGGGCGTGCTCTGTGGAATACCTCTCACCTGCTTGATCGCTTCCAGCATGCTTCTGTCTATGTAAGGGCCCAATGCGATGTTCCGTCCATCCATACGCTGCACGAGTTCGAACGCCTGCTTCACGTCTCCCTTCTCGTACCAATACTCCACCATCAGGGCGTACACATCCCCGCCTCGGAGGCAAGCCTGGCTCATCTAACCACAGCAAATCGCCATTTGATACGCGGTACATGGCCCACGTGATGCACAACGACCATATCCCAACCCCACCCAAAATATTACCTAAGAGGTTCGCAGGGCTAGCCAGGACATTGGCAGACACTATCAGCGCTTTGCTTGACGGCAACAAGACTGTGCTGCAGATGTCCGATACCCTTAATTTCCGGACATGAAATCCTGATGGTGGCAAAGGTGGCATACATGACGGTATGCAGTCATCAAGGTCATGAAGGCCGTGAAGTTCATTTTTGGGTTTAGGGTGTTTTAGATTTTAGGCTATAGGTCCCTAATACACTTCATGGCCTTCATTTCCGGTAATGATAGGCATTGTACAATCCTCGACTGTGTGCAGAGTCAGGACTGCCTGTGCACCTCCCTGGCATGGCTTTCGCATCCAGCCAGCCATTTCGCCGTCGGTGCTTTCAGTGCGGCGTCGCCGTTGTGAGCGGCAAACCACGACGCCAATCCCGACCGCGCGGCATGCAAACATCCGTCTGGAGAAGCGGTACAACACAGTACAATCAGTACTAAATCTTGTTCCGTTTTCCCAAAAACATTGTTGTGTGCGGTTTCCGCGCTCACCTGCGCATCGTCAGGAATCTCTTCGAGCAGCTGGGTGCACATATCCATGGCCTGCTCCGGCGCGTCGCTGATGGCCCTCCTCGCGCCCACGAACCTCTCCATCGCCTCCAGGCGCTGCGACAGGCCCTCCAGGAGATCGCCGGACGGCAGCTTCTCGGCGTGCCTAAGCATGCGGAAGCAGGTGAGCGCCTGCAACCCTGTCCTGACTTTATCACCCGCCACTCCAGGAGCCCGCATGAAGAGGCCCGGTGTATTGCACCAGTTGCAAACGCCACTTTGTCTATGCCGACTGCGATGCCACTTGAGGCTATCGGAGCCACCGCAGTCAAGTTGATACCATCACAACCACTGCAATATTGCATTAATGGCCCCAGTTAATGCAGAAATGGCATTGTAGCTTACACATTCAACGTGGCGTATTTTGCCAATGTGGTGAATTCTTGCAGGCAAAGTGAATGAGCAACATTGTGGAGCACGCAGCGTGGATAGAAGCGATCCCTTTTACGTTCCCACCTTCAGCATTAGAAAGCTCGACGATCTTGAACAAATCCATGTTTTGTGTGGAAATACACGAATTGATGACTGCCGTGGTTTGGTGATGGAACGGCGTTCGCAGCTAGCCTAATGACCTAATCGCAAAACTTCTTTTGCGTCACTTCTTTTTAACAAGCCCAGCCTTTCAACAGTTTTGATAGACGCTGACAAGGAATTGCCCATTTCCACAAACCGTGATTCAATTGTGCACCACGCGCTGAAAAGTCTCCAGGTCGCACCTTAAACCAACGTACCACTACAATTCAGAAGCTAGTGCACCAGCTGCGGTGTCTTCAAAGTTTGAAGTTCAACTGCGTAGTGTTGCTAAATGTAATACTCTTGCGCCATTGACCACCATCTCCCACTATAGGAGATATTATATAATGCAATACGCATTGCATGATGCATTGCATAGTACAATGCACCACACGGAGGGCCACTCTCATCGTGCCTGAGGGCTTCTCGCATCGCCTGGCAGGCCTTGTCGTAGTCACGGTACTCGTCGATCTCGATCTGGGCGCAGGCCTCGTAAAAGGCCACGAGGCTGTCGTGCGCCCTGCCTTTGGTGTAATAGGACACTATGTGCTTCATAAGGCTGGGATCCCCGTGCCAGTCAAGGGTCCTCAGATAGTTGGCGGCCATCAGGTACGCCTCGCGCTGGCGGCAGACGCCTGCAGGTCGGGCAACGTCGCAATGTTGCTGGGCAGGAGTGGAGCAATTACATCAAGCCGCATTCTGTGTCTTTTTTTCTTTTGTGTCCGCATCAGCTTGCATACATGCGTGTATACATGTGTGTGTTACTGGGCAGGAAGAGGAAGAAGAAGATTCCCTACAACTGGAGATACGATAAAATGTGCATGTCACCGACCGTGCCACAGCCGCAATGCATGTCCCAACAGAATGTATCATGACCATTGTCACTGGGGCGCATTACATCAACCTGCATTTTTTGTCCGCATGGAGCATGTGTACATTCGTATGTCTTTCTCCCTTCAAAATAAGAATGTTGATATGAAGCCACGTGTGGGGATGGCGAGCACCCACCAGCGAAGAACACAATTTTGTCCGTGTCTCTGGCCTTGATGAGGGCCTTCATGGACTTCAGCCGTTCGCCAGCCTCCGCGTATTTCTTGGCCGCGAGCGAGAACGCCCCCTGGTGCTTGCACACTTTGGCGATGCGGGAAAGGAGGGTGGAGCGTTCGGCAGTACTGCTGGTTGGCGCCGCCGAAGACATGGCCTCGGCAATGTCCTGGGGGCACTCGAGATTGAGATCAAGGTTGTGGGAAGTTCATTTGGCATTCTCCTTTCATATTGTCGCTCTGATAACACTAGTAAAAAAAGTTCAAAATAAACAGCTTTGGAAATCATGTACTGTGCAACACGATTGAAAATAGTCTAAAAGTCGTGTTCTTATCGTATAAAAGTTGGATCAAACCGTGCAGCAACGATTGAGTGAGTGTACACGATTCTTACATGTTTCGACACGGTTATACGCAATGTTTGCACTTTTCGAAACCGTATATTTTGGCCGATTTCTCACTTGTGCAGTTTGATCCATCAATCTCATATATTCATATTTGGCAGAGGCAGGTTCTCAGAGAAGCTGCCACTGCCAAACATCAGATAGATGTGGCAGAGCCTGCCGCCTCATTCGACATAGATGGACAAAGGTAGGTTCAATACAACAGGAAGGAAGCTGGCAAGCTAGCGACATTTTGGCAATAGCGAAAACGTAATTGTTGCAACAATTACGTAAATGTGCCCAAGGTCGTTCTTTTCCTAGAAATATCTGTATGTCAATCAATTTATCTCGCCTTGTTTCAACATTTTCTGCCAAGCCAACGCCAGGAAACGATGCACCGATGCACAATGGCAGTGCACACAAGATTTGTGGCAGGGTAGTCCTTTCCTCGCATTGCATTCCATTGCTGCAATTCCATCCAAAAAAAAACTCGCACAAATTTGGCGATGATAGGCGCTCGGTATTCCCAACCGTAGCGGACATCTGGAGAAGCAGTTCATGAATTCTCAAATGCAGCGCGCTTGCACCGGGCAGTCAGAGAACCTTCAAGTTCGGAGATACGGTACCTCCGTGTGTAACCACTTGGCATCACAAAATTCGCGCATTTGTGTTCGCCTTTGGGGATCGCCACGCGGAACCATGCACACATGGCCACGCACATTGACGCATATGCACATCGTGCAGCAGTACACGCACCAAGTTTTGGCATGCGTTCAGGCTCACGTCTGGCTGGCGCGTCAGACGCTCGCACCTCTGTGATCAACACATCGTATCGAATGCACATGTCCAGCGCCCGCTCCACGTCGCCGACACGCAGAAAGAGTCTAGCTGCCTTTTGGTATTCGCCGCGCTGCAGCAACATGGATCCGACGCTCGACAGGAGGGCGGGGTCGCCGTCGGTGTCCAGCTCCCCGATTATGTTGTCCAGGGCATCACTTAAATGGCCCTTGACGCACAGCTCCAGTGCTTTCTTGGGCTGCCCGCCCTTCGGAGGCAAGAGAATGCGCAACAACTCAGACAGGCAAGTCGCACGGCCTGATGGTATGGGCACATGCATTTGTCCCGGGGGAGCGTCGAAAGGCCTGATGCCCACCAATGCAAAGGTCACCGGCTGGCGGCATGCCGAACTGGGAGGCAAACTAGCCCTTGTGCGGTACTTGCACAATTCGTCCAAACCGCGCTGCTTCGATTCGTGTTTCGGAATGTGCGTAATTTTTAAGCAATAGCGTATCTGTCATGTGCCGTGGCATCAAATTATGGATATATTCAGACTAACATGGCTCAGAGGGCGACATTCAACAGTGTTCTCATCCGAGTCCAGCATGAAAAACAACCTTTCAAGACAAATTCGTACAAGCAAGTACTGTAATGTACTGAACCTTATATCATTTTCCCCACAATAGGGTTGGAAATGAGTGCCAAACAAGCATTGCAAATGGTGTCGTACAATGAAAGATTTATATTCGACATGTACGGCACCGCCACTGTGCAAATCGTATGGTACGAAATTAATTATTTAGAGTGCAATGGATGTTGCCAGTGCGACCGGAAAGTATGACAGACGTGGCCCTCACATGTACAAGTTTTCCAGTCCATTATCATAGCATTTGGGTACGCATTTGGCCAGTGCTCTATCGACAGATATTCAACTAATATCCAATTCAATAGCGAAATCCGCCAACAGCGTGGTCGGCACTGCACGCCTTGGTGTCGCTTTGAACGCATTCACTCTAAGCGTGCCACGGGATCTCTATCCATGCCAGTGTGCAATCAACTGTCCCAACAAACATCACATTCATCAAGCGACTTGACACACTTGCATGATCACACATTTCATGCAATCCTTCCGTGAAAAGAAACGTGGCGTCACGAAGCAGCCACTCGAGTCACCTTGTGGTAGAGCTGCACGGCCTTGTCCCAGTCCTGCCTGGCGTGAAAATAGTCGGCGGCCTCGGTCATGACACGCGGCTCGCTCTGCAGCGCCAGGCTCATCAGCTCCTGATCCATTCCGTACTGCAGCGCCAGCCGCACGCCTTGCCGATACCGCTTCGCCACCGAGTAACACCTGATGACAGTCTTGGTATTTACGGCGTAAACACTTTTCTATTTATGGGGATTTATGCGTAATATGGTTTTAAAGTTTTACGCATATGTAGCCACGGGAATGCGCCAAAATGGGCCTATGTAATTAAGGACAGTACACACAGACTCAGGGAGTCTGGAGAGCGGCAGCTAGACGCGCTGAAGCATGCATAAGACGATCTTTTGCTCCGCGACGTCGTTGCCTTGCTGAAGGCGAGGTGCGCACTATGTTGCCGGTGCTGGAGAGAGTGGAGGACTTGCTTGGACATCATCATGTAATCTGGAGGTGTCGACGAGCCGTACATATACGTAAATATTGCCGTTTCTCTATTATGTGTTTTTGCGCTTAAAAACGTACACGCAAAATGGACCTGTAAACACAAAGCCCAAACCTGCCTGATGGCTTCCTCGACGGCGCCCTGAGCTTCGTACTGCCTGGCCATATAAAACATGGCGCCGGCATGCCCCGTCTCGCGGGCGATGTCCTCCGCCTTTGCCAGGTCGCCCGTGAAGGCGCAGGTGCGCACGGCGGCCACGATGTCCTCGGCCTCCTGGTAGTGGCGCATGGCTCCGGCGAAGTCGCCCTGGCTCTCGAGGTACCGCGCCCACCAGCGCAGCAGCTCGCGATCACCTGCCACCACAAGCGAAAAATCGGCCAAAGTACATGGCTTCGAACAGTGTAAAAATCGTGTAAAGCCCTGCCAAAGCGTGCAAAAACATGTACACTCACTCAGTCATTATTACACGGTTTGGTCCCATTTCTATATGATAAACGCACGATTTAACACGATTTTACACAATTCTTAACAGTATTACATGGTACACAAATTTCAAAATCGTGTATGTGGCCTGTTTTTTACTAGTGCACGGCCACTCACGACAGTGCATTGACGTTGTACTTTACCAGAAAGAGCTGTAGTCTTCTTAGCGCTTTGCATTTTGGCTTCAAGCTGCACTTTATAATAGAAAACACAGCTGCAGCACAATGGTTGCGTTTCGAACTAGTATTCTGGTGTGCTACGCACACAGCACAATTGGATATGGTGCGGCTGAATATAGAGGGATCCAAATCTTTGCCTACGTTCCAGCGCTATTCTCCCATTGGACAATTGAATATAGAAACGTGGAAATGTCTCAAAAGGGGGTCGAACCTGACATCATGGGGGCGTAGCATTCAAAATGCAGCTATAGCCAACAAAACAATTGAACGTTCCATGCCTGTACCACCATGCAGATACCGTGTCTCCAATCTCGGTACATTGCAGTCAACAACATCTTCGGAGGCATCGCCCCAATGACCGACCGATACTGGCAAAAACAGTGGGCAGGGACCAGTGGCACGAAGGACATGCTTTTAGGCGTTGGGCTGGCAAAAAGCAGAGAGTTTCTTTTCTAGCTGATATCTCAGCGAGCTAAATGAATTGATGATGATGGTATAAATTGGTTGATGATGCTAGATGAATTTGCGTGGGCCGAAAGAAAAGTTGGAGAACGGGTACACATTTTGATTCTGATAAACATATTCCGTAAGACAGAATGAGCAAACGGCAGGAGAGGCAACGACGGCTTGAGCACAAAGTTCGAGTAAACACGCCAGGACACAAATGGCGTCAAACACTTCACGACTCTATGCGTACTAGCGCCTCTACTCCAGATGGGAAAGTTTCACTGCAACAAATGGAAACATCCCATACTCTTGTTATCCCTCTCTGAGCAGAAAAAGCGACGCAAATCTCCGAGAGCATCGTAGCAAATTCATTTAGCTACGTGCTGCACGTAACATGCATGCACACTAAAATTCCCATGCAGTGAGTGTGACTTCATTGTGTGGTGTGCTTGTGCCAACGTCCGCGGTGCCATTAGCAGTACCTGATCCTTTGATGTACCTTTCAAGCTCCTCAATGTTGCCTGACTGGTACAACATACGAGGTACTTCCTTCCGATGCCTCCCTGCGCTGGTGTACTCTTGGGCTGCCCCCCTGTAATCCTTGTTCAACTCCAGCTGTTTCGCCAATTTGTAGTGGGTGGCCTTCAAGTGAATGCGATCTTTGTCCCCCGCGATTTCCATTGCTTTCTCCCAGTTTCCTGATGCCTGGTGCCAATTGACTTATCCTAAATATGCTTGAACATACATACATTGAATCAAATTTGCAATATCCTTGTCACAGTTTTCTGCGCATCACGTATGTGAGGAATTGTGTATATACGGATGCACTAGTGTATACACGAGCACATCACAATTCTGCGAACACCGACACGGGGGAACATTCAACATTTGCAAGGTTTCGTCCCGGGTGAATTTACAGAAGCCCCTGTTGTTTGGTGGCACGCTCAGCAGTCAGTGCGCCAAAGAATATATTCAACACACAGTGGTTCACATTTTCAAACCAGGTTTACAGCACGGCAGTAAGTTCTCATGTCCTATTGATTAATCCGCACAGCAAAGTCCGTTGTATCTGTTGATACAGTGCTCAGGCGTGCGAGACTCTAGGCGCCAGCCACCCTTTGCCTTCTGGCAACGAAACAGAATCAGAAATGCTTACAGACAGCATGGGCGCTGACCAGTTAATGGCTATGACTCGATTTTCCGAGCCGAGTGCATATACTTGTTCGATTTTTGCGCAAATTTTTCCCCCTTAGGACAGCTCATCCAGTTGCAAACTATGCGAAAACCTCAACATGATCACTCTGCTATGAACTACATACTATGCTGAAGTGGATCCCACCGTCCATTTGCGGCTTTGTTGTGCAACTGAATGCGCGACTCGTCCCAAGCCACATTAAGCAGCAGAGTTGGGCCAGATTCGCAGCGCATGAAATGACCCAAACAAACTCTGATTCAAAAAACTGGTTGTGGGGTTTTGCCTCCATTATTGAATAGTTTTGTGAAGCTTTGAAAATGCAAAGCAAATCGCCTCCCAGTTGTAGGACGTTATTGCGTCCCACTGCTTGTCTTCCTGGGAAACAGATGGGAAGATTGCACAGCTAAACTCTACCCCCGTTAACTTTTTTTCACATTCCCTGCTCCAGTAGGTTACGCAAAATGCACAAAGCATTGCAAACACGTGTTTCCGTGCTATGCACGTGGCCACACTGCTCTGTGCAATGGTGGCAGAAGCCAACGTCATGCATGTACCCATGAAAGTTTCCGTGCCCAAACATTCCATGCTGGTGACACCAAATATATTCGGATATTGACACGGCATGATGTGCATGTCACCTGCAGCACGTCGTTGAGCAGGTCGAATCTTTCGCTTTTCGAGAGCAGCCTTTTGGCATCCCCCACCATGCCTATGTGGACGGCCGCAGTCCCCACTCGCGCTTCCAAGCGCATGCTGTTTTCAGTTTGTCTCAATGCCCTGTCAGGAGTCGACTACCACCAGGATCAGAATGGTATGAAATGGAATGAAAGAGCGTAAGCATAGAATCACTGCGCACTTATCGGAACACTAACGAGATGGTGGCTGCTGCCCGTTGATGAGCTGAATCAGGTGGTGCCTGCTGGAATATGGAACTCCACATTAAGGCAGCCGATTCGGCTCCTCTGAAGATAATTATTGTTTCGATATCGCAGCTGTATCATTCACTTCACACGGCTAACTCGATATCTAACGGACAAAGTTTGACAAACGCAAGGCCGTTTGCAATCAGTGTGATATTTTCCGTGGTGTTCTTCCACAAGCCTCTTAAATCGTGGATTTTGGTCCAGGAAAAGGGCGCACCGCAAGACGCACTTACTTTACAAAGCATGGTTCTGTTTGATACAATAGTGAGCCAAAGTTAGAGATATGAGTGGAGCATGCATTATTTCCCTTTCTCAGGAATCGCTTTGGGACGGCGAGACTCGCAATCCTACGGCCGCTACGTTGGCAATTGCTGACCTGGAGACACGAACATGCTCCATGTTTCCCAGACAGAGCTGTGCGACGTCCAAGCGCCCGTTCCGGATGCACAATTGAGCCATGTTCTCCCAAACCTGGGAGGCAATTGGCACATCGAATTCTGTTAAGCAGGGAAGGCGAACACGTTGCACAGGGAAGGAATGCCGGGCATTTATCCTTGGCCTTGGGCTGCTGTCTAGGTTTGCTCTCAGAGAGGAACGAATGCTGCCAATCAGAACCAAGCAAAATGCTTGCATGTCTCCCAACAACAAAAAAAAAAGCAGCATGTAATTCTGGTGATTGTAACCCGATGTTTAATCAACTGCATCTGCGAAGCTGTGTGAACAAACACGGTGACTCCGTATCCAACAGAGTGACCTACACTTGGGTATTGCCTATCCGCCGTATGGCTACAAGCACCCCCATAAAATTTCGTCGGGAGATAGCATGCAACTTAAAGACAACAACCGCAGCATTTCACCATGGCAAACGCCACGGAAGGCATGTTGAGTTTCGACAGAACTCCGTGCCTCACGCGCTGAGCATGTGCCTGCGCACCATCTCCTTTTTGCAATCTTTGTGCCGGTAGGGTATAATTTCTGGTGCATCAGCGCTCCCTTGCTACACAGTTCCTTTGCCTGTTAAGGCCATGCAAAAGTCCTAAAAATCGAGGACGGTTGTTGAAAGTCGAGTGGAAGCACACTTAAATAGCTTCAGTTTTGTATTTGATGGCTTTTTTATGAGCGTCTATTGAAGCACACGGGTAGCCACTCCAGTAGTGGAATTCGAATCACCCCACAAATATAAGGTCAGTCGACAAACTGTCGATCACAAGCCAATCCTTGAGACCCACTCCACACGCACCGCAGGATCCTGTATTTTTTCAATGGCTTTGACAGCTTCCTCGGTGGCGCCGATTGACAACTGGCAGCTAAACTCGAGGAGCCCAACTTTGGTATTCTGTGAAATTTCTTGTACGCCTGCACGTGCAACAGCTTTCCATGTGTTCAATTCTCCTCCACCCACCCACCCACCCACCCACCCATACCCACACACACACGCACACACGCACACACACACAGACTCCGTGAATATTTCTGATGATGACGCAACGAGCATGTTGAGGCGCCAGAATTCAGACCCATTCAGAGAAAGGCTGGGAACAGCAGATTTATGCCCGAGTAACTTCGCAGCATTGGTTTGTGTCCATGTCTCATGAAATATCAGCAGTGCGATGCACATGGATTGTTGATGTATCAATGTTAAATGACACGTGCGACCGTATGCTGCATTACGCGCCGTATCACATCTGAGAAACGCTCGTTGTAGAGGCTCTGCATTAAGTATTCGCAGGCTCTACGTTCAGCCCAATGTTCATCAGCAAGACAAGATTGCAAAACTACGAGGGCGTACCTGCAAAGCATCCCATTCGCGTAGCCACAGCCAACCTGTTGCCAGACGCGGTATCTGCCTTCGCAGAGGACGGCGGAGAGAACACCAGCAGGTGAGGAGCGTCTATGCCGACGAGCCCCTGTTGCCCATCCACAACAGCGCCATCAACTTGTGATTGCCCGGAAAGAGGGGACAACTTGAGGCAGCACGTCGTCACCTTTCCAATGCAGGGCTTTATATTCGGTGAACCTGAATACATACATATCCATCCATCTATATTCGCGTAACTGAATCATCAATTCACCAAAAAAGCTGTATCGGCGACTGTCCATATCAGCACAATTCCAGACAATTGTTTAAATTGTGCTGAATTGTTGAAGTCGAGCAGTATCATGGGTAGCACGCCATGTTGGTGTCCAATCGTTTGTCGCTTGTGCAGCACGCTGTGTGTTGTTGAACCCCGAAAACGCTAGCGGTTGAAGTTGGGTTGAAAGAAAACGTGAACTACTTGTCTGTGCCGACAACATGCATGGAAATGCTCGGCGATTGCATTTTGCTCTTGATTCGGAGGCCTGTACTGCCATGATTGTTACTGTGTCCCAAGCCAGTATGCGCTCGTGCACACATTCGTTCTCACATTCAAGTCATGCCTTCACCATAAATGCGATTCAATTGCGGCGAGGAGCCTTTTTTTTCCTTGCTACATACACAGCTGCACAGTCGTGAACACGCAGGTTCAGGGAATTCCAAGCGAATCTAAACTCGAGCTACAAGCCCGCAACCCATCAATGCTATTGTGAAGAATTCCCTGAGCCACAAATTATCGGGAATTGTGGAAAAATAAGGCATATTTCGCCAGTGCCACAAGCACTCATGCCACAGGGGTCTTATCCATTTTAAAATCGTATCGAATGGCCACATTCGTGTACTAACTGCGAACCATGTGCTCAAATTGGAGCAAATGTTGTAATCGCAACAGCGCTTTGGGGAGGCGTTCAGCGTTGCGTGGCGGCAAACATGTGTTCAGTGTGCGTCGGCAAGCCGGTGGATCACCTTGCCAGCAGGCAGGGCTTGAATATCATGCGAGATTAGCCCATGATCCTGGGTCGCAAAGAAGGTTGCCACTTCGCAGCCAGGGGCTTCGCAATGCTTCGAGCTTCTCGATGCAGCGCGTGAGGTCTGGACCGCGAGCAGGCTTGCCTCGTGCGCATCCCAGAACATGGCCTGCAATGCCAAGTGCGTCAGGCACGCTTCAGGACTTGCCAGATATCTACGAAGAAAACGATATGCGGCTCATCGCTTTGCAAGCGCTTTAGGCTCATAAACTCTGAACGGATTTAAGGCGACGGGTTGGAGAACTGCAGTAAAATGAGTTTCCGAAGGTTGCGTGTTGGCGTAGATGCCCATCGCGAAATGTGCAACATCCTTATGGGAATAATTCGAACAATCTTAACATCAATTTTACACAATCACTTTGCCCGCCCGGTATAGGCATCGCTCCCTTCCCCAGCGCATCTTCGTGCAATAATCTTCATGTAAGATTCAGCTTCGCTCAAGGAAGCATGTGACGGGCATTGGCGGCAATGGCAATGGTAGAAGGTCAGATAGTGGGGTGCCTGGTGGGGAATGGGGGATGGTGTGCCGGAGGGGTTCAACAACTTCACTAAATCTCCCCGCCCAATCAACAGGAAGCTATTAGTCACCTCGGGCATCTGGGAGCTCTGGGAGAAATCGTGGGAAGATGTGATGCCACTCTCGATGTCCAAGACAAACACCCGGGCGTCCCTTGTGGGTCTCTCTTTTGCGGTCGCCAGAAAACTGACCTGTGGAGGGCGACAGACCTTTCAGTACAAACATTTCGATAACTTGCATCTGGGTTTTCGCTCCAAAAAAGAAAAGGCAGTCATAAACCCACGAATGCACTGGCGAGAATGAGCATAATGACGGACGCCAGACCTCGTCGTACGTATGATATCACGCCAGAAAAGGACGTAACTTGACGTGGTGATGAATGCGTGATACCATATTGAGCTCTGTGCGAACTGCTGTGACGTCCACGCATGTTGCCAGCGGCGTACAGAAGCATCTACGCAGATGTATCTTCTTGACGTTTGCATACAACCACTTGCACACAATGACGACACAACAGAGGTTGCTGGAATTTCCAAGACATGGGTGGACAAGAAAATAGAGCCAGTGAGAGGAAGCCCCAGCACTCAATTCAACAAACTGTTAGAATAGATTCAGCACGCAAACGAGAGGTGGAAGTGAGAACGCCTCTTCATATCGCAACAGTGGACAGTGAAGAAATGCCAAACTGCCCACAGACAGAGAAAATGAGTGTTACCAAGAACGGCAGAGGTGCTGCAACTTTGAAAACGTATCAGTTGAGAAACACGACTTGTATGCAGACATACCAAAGGACGATTTTCAGAGCGACTCCAAACGCAGAAACGAATTGACAATGCGACGGGCTGAAACACTATCAAGCTCTTTTCCCTATCAGTAAACCACACATTGGTGATGCTACAAGTTCGGATTAACGCCCCAACTATGTGCAATTGCAGGGGATTGTGCATGCCACTGGCCTCTTTGCGAGGGAGCCAAGTTTTGCCATCGCAGCTTCGCATCGGGTTCATTTATTCGCCATTATCTATTTCATGAACGGTGGAATGCCACCATGAGAAGATATCCACGTGATGACACTTTGGGAGAGAAGACACCCCAAGTTTGGTGGTCGCGTTGCGCTGGCCAAGACAAAGCTGGCACCACAACACAAGGCCTGGTTGTTCTGTTGCATTCATCGATTGGCAATCCCAATCTGCGCCCTTCAAGCTCACCTTGGTTCCGTTGCAATTGACGCGCATGGCTTCCACGGAGCCAAACTGGTCGCCATCGAAAACAATGGCGACGGCGGGCGACACCGGCTTACACTCCCTGCCGCCAACTTTGAAAATCTTCGCTCGCTGTCGATCTGTCACAACCGCCAAGTAGTCCTCGCTTGCATCCACGTGAATTGGCGACCCCCAGTCCTGCAGACCAGCGGACCCGTGCATGAGCAGCTAATGACAGCGTCACAGAGAAACATGCAATAATGCAGCTGGCTTCCGCTGAAAATGAAAAGGGCAAAATTACATGCCCTACAACGTGTACTAAGATGCCCGTTGTGCGGCAATAGCAGGAATGCACAACATGCTAATCGATTCCTCTATCATTTTGGACAGGTAGCTTGAAGCAATATAGCGGTGTACTAGTGTCCCAGTTCCATTGCCAAAGATTTCAAGCAGGACACAAACAGTTGACCCTGAGTGAATGTGGCGCATGAACTGGGCAATGCATGCCCCCACGAGAAGCAAACCCGCGATGTCGCCAAATGCGATTAAAATGCAAGGGCAATTCGCAAAGGCACAGATGCAAACATGGGGAAAGAAGTAGAACCCGTTGAATGCGAATGCATAAGAGATGCCGCTCGCCCATTGTACGGGAAAATATGTGCGCTGTTGGTGTCACACAAATTGAATCCATTTGGGCCCATACATAACAAGAAAACAACCCTAGCGCGTAATACTTTCTCTCAGGGAAAGTACGAGCCAAACGATTCTCACCTTTTCGAACGACATTGTTTGCTTTACCGTCCCGGTTACAGTGCGTGCTTCCAGCCTTGCCTCGCCGATGCAAAAGACAGTGTCCCGGTGCGCTGCCATGGATGTCGCGCTGCATGCAAATGACCACATCATCTGGGCCCCTTGCCCCTGAGTGGCGGCAACCTTCGCCTGTAAACGCAAGGACGTCCCTCATCATCTATGCCACAAATTCCCCCGTGATGTCGTTGAAAGTGCCATCACTTGCTCAAGATGCAATATCGGCAATGCGTGCACGTTGGCATGTCACACAACGTTATGCATTTGGCTGGATTTTGACACCGTTGTCGTTGGTGCGACACTGAACTTGGGGACTGCGACCTGGGGGCAACCCCAAAGGTGTTTCGCTAACCGTCGCGACTAGGAAAATGATTCCAGGTCCGACTTGCATGGCGACAGCAGGACCATCATCAGCGCGACATCCCCCCGCCACCCCACGGCAAAATGCTCATGGCACGCACCACGTACGTAGCACCCATGTGATACTGCGAAAAATCGCACGCAAACTGTACACCATCCAATTAAACTAGAAAATTCATGCAATATTTACTTTTTCTTTTGGGATGGGGTAGGGTGGGGACTTTTCAGCTAGTGCGCAGTTTGCATGCAACTGCATAGAATGGGACTGGTCTCATTTACGAGTGTCCCTGGGTCACAGTTGATCGCAGCGAGCCCAGTTTGAAGGATAGCGCTCTGTTGCTCATGCCACCCGTTTCGAGGAGAACACAGAAGAGCACTCAGTTTGCATGGCGCCAACGCTGTCAACGCTAGTGGGCTGCTGCATTATTTCTCCAACCCACATGTCGTCACGCGTATTCTCCGCCATACAGCCCCAAAGGAAGGCCGCCTGTGCTTATACATACCGCGCGTGGCGATGGGAAAGAGTCTGATGTCAACCGCGCAGTGAAAATTTCTGCGAAGGTTTTCTGGAGAGTTCCATTGGCATCGCCTAGGTGCTCGCTCATGTGACTTCCATTCTATCGTCGTTCCTTCGCATTTCTTCACCTAACGAGGAGAGCTTTCCCATGTTTGACAAGTAGCACGCCTGTTCCAATCAACTGAGTCCCGAATGTTGAGCTCTGCGGCAGGGAAGAGTGTCCCGAGCATAGTGCTTGGGTTGGACTATAGGGGTGCGGGAAGGACGCTGGTTATGCCATTGCTTGGCTATATAGCAAAACGCGCTTCCTGCCCGTGGCCACGGATGGATACCTCTGGCAAACTGTTGCCGCAAGCCGGTATTCTCGCGAATAACTGATTTTGAAGTTTCACGCTTACGCCCTGCTCGTGGCGATTTCAGTATTGCGAATTTTGGCACTGTCGTGCAATGTAGCTGAGCATTTCGACTATTGCTCACCAGGTTCCCATCCCAGGCCAGCACGTGACCCTCGCTGATGTCCAAACCCGATATCTGCATTGACGGGAACTCGATTTCCCGAGAGTCAGGTGCCTCTAGGTGCTCAATGACGACCTAAGAGCACAAAGTGCCACATGTAGGTAAGTGGCATATCCAACCACCCGTTTTCAAGCCCTGTGTGTCATGTTGTCTTCTGCACTTGGGGGGCCTTATTGTTTTTCGGAATACGCGGGATACAAGTATCAGAAGGAATGCCGCTCTGGCGGGAATCCATTTCACATGTGTACATGGTGTGTCTCATTGCATCACATGTATCAGTGTTAGCTAGATAGACGATGAGCTCCCATCCACTACATTCCACCTCCTTCCGGATGCCTGGGGAAGATTACGTGTGCACCATGCTGTTGGCGGCCGCGGCATTGGCAATGCAAGTAGACAGCGCCTTCAAATTTGCAACGATCACACATGAAAATACGGGCACTGTATCACAGGTGCCACTTATGATTCCTGCAAGAAATTGAAGCGAGAATCTAATAAGATTCACACGATACTAGAAAAGAACGTGGAGGCTCTCACAGTGATGGTGGTAGAGCGCTGCAGGAACTACCCTGGCGACCTACCAGCCCCACGTTCAGGACACAAGGGTACAGACTGTTAGAGCTTGTTGTTTCGGCAATTCACTTGGAGACAAAATCGCCCTCCTAATTGACAATGACCAATGTTACGACCACCGGGTTTCCGATTTTTTTAGTGATGGCCTCATTGATTCAGCGCATGCTCGCTTATCAGCACGGCCCTCGCATATTGTTCTTATACATCTACTGCAACGTGCATGACCTACACCTGATACTTATGTATTCAGATGTATCTGGATCGAAAGGATATCACGAGTACTTCCATTTGTGTCTTAGACTTATCAATATGGTTCACAACACCCATGCTCCATGGCCCTTGACGGTTGCCATTGCCATTTTCCAGGTATGGCCCTGTACGCCACTTCTAAAGACGTCTGGTGCGGGGCAACTCTCGGAGGCATATCCAAAAATTATGATTATAGGCTTTCAACAGAAAAAAACGAGCATAATTGTATAATGCATCAACACCACTTGCAAATGAACATGCAAGTGCGCAACTGTCTCTCAATGCTGCCGACTGCGCACACAGAAACGGCGCCCTTGCCGCGACCAGCTGCACCTTTTCCAGACTGATCTGCAGGGCAATCGAGCCGCCGCGAAATCTGTTTCGAAGAAACTCCCGGCAGCACAACGTCAAATGCGTGGGGAACTGGATGCTGAGAAGCCTGGCAGAAGCAGAAAATGTGGCCGTGAACTTGTGTGCATTCAAGGATTGACAACTGGGCACCCGGAAAATAAGTTGAGATCCAAGACCGGGAACTTTACGCATTCACACACTGCGTACCATGTGAACAATGAAAAGCTGGTGAAAATCATGTACTGTGCATGGCAATACTGCCATGCACAGTAGATGTTTATTCATGTAGAATGGATTGTGTACCAGGGCCCTGGCGTACTTACTCTTGCCAGTTTCGGTGATATTGTTGGGCAGTTGCCACACCATATATGCGATATCATAGCCACGACAGAACTGACACATTGTAGAGATTCATGACATTAGTTCACTCTATGTGTTAAGGAGGGCACGACGCATCTCATGAACTGAGCGTCCCCTTCCTTAATTTCATGCTTGGGTCCCTAGCCTGTCCCACAAACTATCATCCAATGTATCAGCAAAACTAGAAGAAAAAGCACCACGAATATCGAAAAAGCATGAGCGCAGGGAACCAGATGGAGAAAAGCACCAAGAACTAGTGTTCAAAATGCGGCACGTGGTAGCGCCTTCCAGTATTGCATGCATCTCACAGCACATCCCTTGTGTCTGGTGCAACTGCATTAGACTTGTGCAACGAACAGCTGCGGGACATGACGGCATGCATGCGTTCATGATATGAGCAAGTACATTACTTTTCAAAGTTAATCACAATTGGCATTTCCACATTTCCTCTTCCGTTTTGGAGAGATCCTTCTGTCAAAGACGACCACCGCTGCATGGCTGCCACTTGCCGCAAATGGGATGCTAACGTCTGGGGTGCGTTTTGGCGAGCAAATCATACCCGTAACGTCTTGGTTCGATCGTCGGACGATTCGCCATGACGTCACTTACACACAACTGGACAAGTCTGCGACTGAAAGCTGCTCCGAGTCTGTGATCTCACCTGGGTGTGGGCCCAAACTGCATGGAAATGGGTGACTTGCCCACACTGCAGCATACGCGCTTTTCCCACAGCTGCCCCAGCTCGTCTTTCTTCCCCTGATCATCGGAATCAGCCACACCCGGACTCCCAACGTAGAAGAAAAGAGTACTCTGCAGTTGAATGCAGAACAGTAATCATGGATACCCATTTTCGCAGTTTCATGTCTCGGAAAAGACGCCATCTGCATAGTCAAGGGAGTCTGCAAGAGAGTCTGCCGCCGTGCTGATTCGGTGTAGTGAATCTGGTGCACAGCACCGCCGCCAATGGCTGTCCTGTTACCAGTTTTCCCACACGCTGGCTTCACAACATACTGTTTGCTCTGCATTGGCCTTTTCACTAGCCAGTTTGCATTCCACTCCGTCCCAGGAACTCTCACGCACCGCAGAACAGGTGCTCTTATGATTGAATCATGAAACGCATTGCAGTTGAGCAGTGCAACGAAGTGGCCTCGCACCTTGCCGTTCTCATCCGCAACAGCAAGCGCCTCCAAGGCCTCACTGTAAATCAGGCAGGAGACGGGAGCCGCCGCACTTGAGACACCACAACCTGCGTTGACATCACCGCATGTCGCGTATGGGCTGCATGACCACATGGAAGCAAAAGGATGACGTATGCTGAACGCAAATGAAAGAAATCATCTGCTTGAAGGCGATGACGGGAGCTGCAACATCCTACTTGCGTTAGTTCCTCGCACGATAACAAGCCCATGCCAGTTGGCATCACCTGAGGTTTCTGGCGGCCGGGAAGGCAACAAACTATTCACAACAAGCTACACAGGGGATGCCGCTGTCAATATGCGCCGCGGTGTACGCTGGGCAGCGCAAGGGTTCGTGTGACACGAGCAATTCAAGAACCGAATTCAGCCACTGATGTTGACCACAAGCCCTGCATTCGCGTTGTATTGCGCCAGGGCCTTACTCGACTGGACAATGGAATACGGGAACCTGCAGCCTGAACTATGATCCAAAAGCTCCACAATCGCACCAGGACCAGCTACCTTTGCGGGAACAGCAACACAAAGCAGCAGAGGCGCACCCGTTTCTGGCTGACACCGTACAAGCCAAGTACAGGTGAACATGAGCACAGAGATAACTCAACATATGTCCATATGAGGACCCGTAACCAGTGCCGGTTCACACAAAACACGAATGAGGATCGAATTTAGGACTCAACAAACACAGCTCGTCTTCTGCACAAGGTCTGCAACCGTGTGTACATGCGTCAAATCTTTGAAGATCGTGTGATGGTGGTTCAGAGGGCGCTGAAATGGTACAAAATCGGGTGTTGGGTGTTGTTTCAAGCCCATGAAGGATCGGTTCGTAATATCTTTATCGTACTTCGGTTTTCTCACTTTCTCCTGTGCGGAGAGCGCGATCCGCAACCAGCTGACATGGCTGCAGACAAGAGTTCTGCTGCTCTACATGTTTCCAAGAACAGCTGCAATGTTTACCTCCAGCGCATTGCAATGTGCACTACTGACTTTCATTTCCTTCTCTGCACTTATCGCTCTCTCCTTTGCTCACTGATGGATGAATGTTTTCATCCCAGCACTTGTGCTCACCTGGATCCAACACATAATTGTCCTCTGTGCTGAAGTTGTACAAACGCACCACGCTGCTTTCCGAAGTTGCACTTGCCAAGGTGTGGGGACATGTCCAGCACATCTGCCCACATCCGCAGAGAATGGCCGTCAGCACACATTGCAGAGAAATGTCCATTTCCCTACTTCCGTCCCGCCACTGAAGCATGGTTATTGTCGCATAGCTTGGTCCTGGTGGGAACGTGGTGCAATTTGGTGCATGTTCTGCAGCAATTGAACACGACGGAACAGGCGAGATGTGTATAACAACCTTCCCAACAACGCATTCTATTCTGGTCTATAGTTTGTCTATAGTTTGTCTGGCAAGGGTCTGCACCCACGCGATAAAGTGCACAGGCTTGTTTCTGCGACTGCAATTGTCCTCAACACTGGCGAAGTACGTGATTATTTGCGCTTTGATGAATGCCAGCAATATTAAGAAACGCTATTGTTGACTGATTTCGTACTTGTAAGGAACGCAGGATGCACGATTTTGTCAACGGAAGCAACTTCCACTGCAACTAGCGCATTGGAGTTTTTAGCTAAATCAATTATTGATATATTATGCACCAGGATCCACCCATCAACAACATTGGTTGCCCGTGAGACCTTCTGGCCATCGCGTAGCTGCAGGGATGCGCAGCAACTGGAGAGAAATTAGCGGCCGTCGTTGCTCGATAGGGTGCTCAGCTTGGTCCAAAAGCGTAGGCACTGAGATTGAATTGCGCAAACTTGTGCTTTTTACGCAATGAAGAAATGATTATGCATGTTGTAAAATGTGCCCAGTGTGCTCATCATTGGCAATGGTGTCATTTGATTTGCCAAAGGGCGGCGTTAGGGAAGAAAGTATCGGCGTGTGTCACCTTAAGCTCAGCCACATCGCTTCCGCTGCCCGCTGCAAATTTCATCTTCATCAGGTTGCTGTATGCTTTTGCAGCTTCATCGTAAGCATAAGTCGTCAAAACGTTGGTGGTCGATATGCAAACCTGAATACATGAAATGGGCATTATCTTAGTGGAAATTGACAAGGTGAATCACAAGCTGGAGATGGATCACCATTTCAAGTGCCCACCATCATCATCATCATCATCATCATCAAAATCCATGGATTACATTTGTCACAAAATGACAAAACACAGCCCGTGCACCTGGTAGGCGATGATGGGCGTGGAAACCAAGCAGATAATATGTTCGGAATCGATTATTCATGGGCCCACATCGCCGCTCCCTATTGTCCCATGAAATGCAGTGAGCTGGCATGAGTAATAAAATCCCAAGCACTGCTGCATAAAGTGCACTGATGCATAAAGTGCCCATCATCTCAGCGTCTGCCTATTTGTATATCGTGTGTTCATATGAAGCATGTCATCCGATGATATATTCACGATCCAGTCAACAAGATAGTGATTTTGATAAAGGCGCGCACACCACACTCGTCGTCGCTCAGCATCCCTTCGGGAAAATCGGCACGAATAGGTTCTATGAATTTATGACGCCTGCTACAGCTTTTCACGAATGACTTTGGCACGCGTTGCTGCTGAGCTCAGACAAAAGCGCAATGCTGTGGCTCCTGCTGCCTGCAAGTACATCGTGACGATAATGAAGAGACGTTCACACCTATTGCCAGGGAAACATGTGGAATGCAAGTACATGACTGTGTGTCCACTATACATAAAAGCCTTGGCAAAAGGCTTTAACTATATATAAACATTGCAACGTTACATATTTGGCTACCTCTAGTCCGAAGCAATGTGTAACGAGATGGAACATGCAGAACAATCATGGGGGAAGTTAATGTTGCACACACTCGGTCACGCATTGGCAGAAAAAGGATGTCTCCAAAAATTAGATGGTGGCATAAAACAACGGTTTGGCATTACAATGTCAATATGGGCAACAATGCTGATGTTGCAACCAATACTTTTCACTCTAGGTGCTGTGGCTTTGACGCCGAAACGCTGTGCAAAGTGTGATTCACGAGTACATTGCTCAATCGAAACCATTCCTATAGATTTATGTTGTCCTCAACAATTCTCTCGCGCTAAAGAAGATGCGAACTTTTTATAGCATCCACGTTACAGGCTGCAGGAATCGCAGGCATCGGGATGTCGATGAAAGGCACATGCTAGATGTCTCAAATGTGAATATCGCGCTGCTCGCGAAACTTACCACCTGCCTCTTTTCAGGGTAATAAAACAGGCTTCGTTGTGCAGCCTCGTCCTTAATAACAATGGACTTGTTTCCAGCGTCATCCACGCAATATATGCTGCCCTGTACAGAAAAACCCGCGAGGATGATGGTGCACAAGACATTTTCATGGATCGTAAAAGACAAACAGCATTTCTCCCGCATCTTCATTGCAGCATGGCTCATAAGTGCAGCCACAGCCTTTGCTGCAAAACGTCTTTTCGCCACGGCTTAATTACAAAGAAATGAACTTGCCTTGATGCAAAGCGATGTCATGACGATCTTGCTGCCCAACACTTTTAGGCAACGTTCTTTCAGCCGGTCACTGAAAAGGGAAGATAATCAAAAAGAATGGCAAAAATGAAAAAAGGCTGATAATCGCGCAGAAGGGACGACAATCACAAAACAAACCCAGAATTTTCCGTTGCAGAAGAAGAAGGGTGCACATTGTACAAATGGTTGCCATGTTTTGGCACAGATCAGGAAACAGCAAACAGCTCATTGTGAATACACCGATAATACCAAGAGATTGGCTGTACGTTCGACCACGTGTTTCCCACGAGCTGTCTTGATGATGGCCAGCTACAAAGAGGAATCACCTTGTCTCCAACTCTGGTGTTGATATACACAGAGCTGGTGCCAGCCTCTGTGCCTCCCCAGGCTAGGGATGACACTTGCACACCTGGATCCTCGTATTGAGTCATTGGAATTGGCAGCATGTGTGCATCTGTTTGCCAAATTCCCACCTGCACCCAGATGTGGTGCTAAGTAGATCATCATAGATGCCACAGCATTGCTGCATCCCAAAATCCTATATGGGGTGGACGATTGCTGCATGGCACATGACATCTATCGAGAGACACTGCAGCAGGTGCGGTTCATGGCTTCAAATGTCCTTTTGCGCCATGACGAATGTCATACAACTTGTATCCCTCCCCAGGGATACTGTGCAAATTCGTGAGCTGAGACTCTTTTTCATACTGTGCGTGATGGTGAAGGAGTTTCGAGTGCTGTTTCCCAGCATCGGAGGTCCTCTTCACTTTCAAAGGGGCAAAAATGAAATGCGCACTGCTTGTTGCCAAACCCATTCACAGTCCAACAACAGTCATGTGTGCCACCTTGCCCTCAACGACAAACAACAAGTCACGGGGAGTCAAAGGCAGGTGTCTCTCAGGTCAACTGTTGATCCATGCCCTTCCCAACCAAGATACAAAATTTCCGTTTGTGTTGACCAACAATGCACATGCTCGCTCAGTAAACTTCCCTTGCATCACTGCATGGGGCTCAGGTGCATAGAGGCCCATCAGGGACAAATGCAGTCCATGACCTGTGCACATGTCCCTTCCCTGCTATTGGGGCCCCAGCAGGCTGCTGCACATTGATGGCGCTGACAAGATCCCACGATACACTGCAGCAAACCAATGCAACAGGATTTCCTTTTGAAAACCCTTCAGAGTTTGTCCATTGATCTGCAGCACACCTTTCCACTCTCGTCTGCAGTCGCCAGCCTCTCACCATCTGACCTCCATGATATGCATGTGACACAGCAACGATGGATTTTGCTGTCTTCGTTGAGCCTCCTTGCCTCTTCATTCCAGAACGAAATGGCTCCTGGGCGATTCACCATCCAAGGAACTTGGTTGGGTGGATTGCATAGGCTGCACAATACATTGTTTTGAAGGGCAGAGTTGCAGTCATGAAGAATTGCAGCCCACATAGGAGGCTGACTAGCCCCTCGCAGCAAGGGAAAGTGTGGCAATGACAGTGACTCACAACACCAATCCCTTCCGCACAGGACATGGAAATGGAGTGACAACTCAAAGCTT